GTAAGAAGTAATTGTCCAATGTTCTCTTAATAGCCATTTATTGCATTTGAAGGCTTTTTAGAAGGGATAGGTCGGTCTTCAGTAGTAGTCTCTTGCAGTATATGGCAGCTCGTTGGCAGTGCGTTAGCAACTATCAGGTTTGGAAATAGTAGGCATTTACTGCCATTTGATGTCATTAGAAGTTGTTGTCCGATATATCAATTCCAGTCGCTTAGTACACTTAACGTTTATTATTATTCGATCTTAAATAATGCCCAATTACACCATCTATCTCGTCGTAAATAGCATCTAGTGTCTTCTGATAAAAGTGGTTTTGAGGAGGTTATGTAATGTCATGAACACCTACAACATTTGATAGCTCCTTAGTAGATTTTAACCGATTCTAAAATAACACCCCCGTGCAATCTTTCGAATTTGATTAGCAAAGATGATTCGGTTTTGATATATTAACCAGTTATTCCAGCAGTGGTTGCCCTGCCCTCTAATAAAAGTTACTGATAACATTTGGACAGTGGTCTTCCGGGCTTGAAATAGTAGACATTTACCGCGATTTCAATTTTATTGAAAATGCTTGCAGAGTTCACAAGTATGTTAGCAGGGGTTGTCGAAACATTCGTTAGTTGTGCTTTCAAGCGTTGGCCTCTTACGACATTGAAAAGCTCATTAGAGGAGATTGTCCGGTAGCCATAATCGATTCTTCATGAACAAACCAAGAGTAAAAGGCCCCTTTATCCTTACTCATCATCATCAAAACATTAATTCACCTTATGAAGTACAAAGATTGGATGTCAATAATTGACATTCTCTTTAGGGCTGGTACGATAACTTAGCCAGAGGCATATTAAGTACTCCTTGCCTAAGGGTCCAGGCACCTGTAAATTTTTCAAAAAGCTATATTTTTCCATGACATAAAAGGACAATTGTAGGCGCGACAAGGTTGTAAATGCCCAAAACAATTGATCTTTCGAACGTAATTGTGTGGGAGTATGTGAGCACTGGAAACTTTACAAGCGTTTTTCGCGAAATTCGGAATTTTGAGAATTGCTATGCCTAGCAATGCCTAGATAGGTATTGGAATTAAATAATTTTTTTCCTCATTTTTCGATTTCAAGTTTGGACAAGTTACACAGTGCGTCGCATGTCGTCTTAAGTGACTAGCACCTCGCGAAAAAGGCTCAGGGGTTAATATTTTTCAGAAATAAATATATATTTTTTGGAATACACTTAATAGGATCGCCGAATATCATTACTAAGAAAATTGTGAAAAAAAACCTTCTTTTGAAAACTGCGGCAAGGCAACACTGCTCCTTACTCTTTGAGTAACTTATACTACAGCATGCATGTTAAAAATGAAAAACAAGTTTGCAGTTTCCGCTCCCGAGTAACAGACAAGGCTAATACGATCCGACGACTGTTAACGCCAACCAAATATATATAGGATACATTTTTGAGATCAAAGTATATTACGAACATTTTAATGCTTATAAAAATCCTCCTGGCTTACATATGAATATTTATGGACTAGATTTGTTTTTTTTTTTCGAATGAATTCTTATATACTATATAAACAATGTAAACAATAATTTGTAAATAAATAAGTAAATAAATGAAAAATTTAAAATCTGCCTGAATACGTTATATTATATGTTTTTAATTTTAATGTAGTTTTGTTTGATTTGCATTAAGTAATAAGTAATTCTTGTTTATGGATATTTAATCATGTTGCATTTTTTTTTTTTTTACTTTAGTTTTTATGTTATCTTTTCTTTTCTTCCTTTTTTCTTTTTTTAATAAATATTTTATAATATTTTGTTGTTGTTGCACATGTATATTCATATTAATGATTTTACTTTTTATTTATTTATTTATTTATTTTTTTTTTTTAAGGGTTGGCAGATGTTGTCTTTTGTTGTTGTTGTGTTATCGCTGTCGCTATTTCACTTTAGAGTACTTTAGACATCTAAGCTGGTCATGTGCGATAGCCCCCAATCATTATTAAACCAAATATTAAAGCTAGGCTACAAGCTGAATAAAATTTTTTTGTAACCGACGCTGACGATGTAACCGCTGAGGCAGAAGATTCACCTGAAATAAGAAAATACGTAAAAGGAAAGTAAAAGAAATTGGTGAAAAAAAGGAAACGATGAATATTGCAAGCATCTCTTTTAAGATATCTAACAATTTAAAGTTAAAATTAACGTAATTACTTTATTCTATTAATGTTCAAGGACGAAAGTTTCCAGCAAAGCATTTGGGAGAATGGGCAGAGTGTCGTGTACTGTGACATGAAACCATCACTAAGGAGTGCTTATCAATAATAATTGAATCAATTGCAACAAGACATGGACAGCATATGCCATAAGTGATTGTATCGCGAGTTTTGAGTATAAGAAAGTTCGTCCCTATGTAGCAAAATGAGTTCAGAAAATTTTAAAAAAATACAAAACGTTAAACAAAGGTTGGCCCTTAAAGAATTACTTAAGTAGTTATGCTGTAGTATTATATTTTACCCTTTATAGTACTATGTCTTGTATTTTGATGGTCAACCCAATCAGCTTATTACCCTATCTAGTTCAGATAACGTTTCTTTAACTACAGAATTCTAAACTACTTATGGCATGAATGTACAAAGTTTGCCCACATTTATGTAACATGTCGATTCGAAAGAATTTCGCAATTTCGTTTAACCGTTTGATGCCTCTCTACATATTTTTAGCCTACAGATTATAATTTTCAAGATATTTTAATGAAATTCGCTACATGGGTCTTAGCTGAAAAACTAATGCAATTGAATGTAGATTAGAGTAGATCAGGCAATTTTTACGACTACTCTCCATGTAACGTTCTTCATTGTAAAAGTCTTGATACGAAAGAAGGTTTCGCCTTTTAATACAACTTCACAAAAATCATTGACATGTACTATTTTGGAGTATTAAATGATCGGATGGAACATAAGTGCTTTATAGACGTTCTCAGATGGAAATAGATTTTGTTTAGCAATTTGGCACGCAAATTTAGTGTAATGTGTTTTGGCTATATGGGTCTAATATTTCGACTTTAACTGATGTAAGGGATTCTGACGAAACGTAGCAACACGGTGCGATTTCAAGCATCCTACAAGGTAAGTAAGTATCGAATGTATATTTAGTGTATTGTCTCCAAACCATATAGGTTTAATTTTCAGACATCACCAATAAATGCTTCTCATTGAAGAGCCTTCAGAGCAAGACGCTGTCATTTTTAGTATATTGTGATGGCGACAGGTTCCGAGTAACTAATTGGCGATATAGAAGGTCTCCGCGGTTTTTGGCCATTAGATTGTGTTGTTGCTTCTATATCGGACAACACTCGCCTGATTGTCTCAAACAAACATGTGCTTAAAAGGTGACATGTCAGCTTACGTTTTTTGTGCAGATAATTTTCTAATTCTTTGCTCGCGTAAAAAATTGATTTGAATATGAACGAAATATGAAGAAATACGCTATGCGATGCTTTTTTACTATAAAAATTGTAAAAACGTTACAAAGAAAAAAAGATTGTGAAGTGAAGTAAACGAAGAACCCAGGAGTGGTTTGCTTGATTCCGTGCCGGAAATTTCGATAGCAAAGACACACCTCGCAGTCACTGAAAACGGCAATGAAATTTCGCAACTGGTGGAGCAAGACCGGCACGCAAACTGTCCGGAAATAGCGGAGTCACTAAACATCAGCCACATGCCAATTTGGAATCATTTGAAAAGAGCAGCCAGTAAAAAGAAGCTCAATTACGCATTATTTGACATGTAAATTTAGCGGATCGCATAGTTTAATTTTCCGATAATATCACACATAAGAGGTTACTATGGAAATCAGATGTTACGACGATGATGATACGAGTGTTTCTCATGGAAAGCAAATTTCTACAAACGGTTACACTTCTTAGATCCCTCACCCATGTAAAGGTTCTCATGAATAGCAAACCATTATATGGCAAACGGGCGAAATTTTATGACAGCAATTGCTTGATAATAGCAATTTGATAGGCAAATTAATTGTAATAAATTCGAAAGTAATAGGACTACTACTTTTAAAAAGTAGTTTTCCATATGAAGTCTAAATATTGATATCTTATGACGAAGGTAGATCAAAAATCGTATTAGAAAAAGTGATGTAGGGTATTTAAATTGTCAGAATTGTTCGACTATAACATTGTAAATTGTTTATTTTATGAAATACGGAGTTTTTTTAACAGCTGAATAATGGGCGCATTGTAAGGTGGTGCGCAGTTTGCACACAAATATTCTCAAAATAAAATATTTACATTATATTTTGTCCCTTTTTACATGTTAAACAAAGTCGCACAGAGGTTTTTCTGTTTTCTTTATCCCGAATGTTATTCTTGTTAAGTAAATGACAGCAATTTCAACTGAAAGCTATACATCACCTTTGTGCAAAGAGGAAGTAAACATTCAACTGGTTTATGGTCACACACAGAAATCATTTCCCTTATTTCAATAATTTTGCAGTGAATTGGAAAACATTTGTAGTCAAGGATGAAGTGTATTTGTTAACTTTTAATCAACATAAAAACGGAAAAGCTAAATAATCTTTTAGTTATTTATTTCATCTTTTAATGTACATACATATACAACACCGGTATCCTTAAGTTTATCTACTTTGCATAATGTTTCAACCGTTTTCTAATTCATTAAACATGCGTTGATTTCATTTAAAGGTATAAACTAAATAAAAGCTGTAATAGTAATAATATTAGGTAAAGAATGGAAGGAATAAAAACGTAAATGAATAAAGGAAATAAAAACGAATAAATAGATCTTTTATCTCTTTTTCCATCTTTTTACAAAGCAATTAGTTTTCTATAATTATAATAATGTTCTGATGCAGAGTTTCTGAAATCAAACATTTTATTGGGGCCACAAATTGTCAGTGCAGCCCGATAATGAAATGCGTTATGCCTTATTTTGAAATCGTTGAATACGCTTAGAAGAAAATTTGTTTCTATTCTGAAACAGGTAAATTTATCATTTTACTGGCAAGAAATAATTGCTGGCGGTAGGTAATTACATTAGTAACCTTTTAATGTTGTGCTACAATCTCCCTTGTACATGAAACTTTTATATCTTGTAATAAACAAGCAAAAACTCTATAGTAGGGCACGACCCAACATTAAATATCCTACGCCATCTCCAGGCGTTCATACAATTATCGGATCCGAAGCATTTTCAATAGCGGTCGTCCTTGCGACAAAAAGCTTGACTGTACCAAATTTCGTCAAAATATATCGAAAATTGTAGCCAGTAGGTTGGACACCAGAAAATAAGATAGACAGACGGACAGAACGGTTTAGATTGATTGAGAATGAATTTCATTGCATTAACTTGCTTGTTGGGGAATCACTTTCTTGATCGACCGGTACAATAAAAGATTGGTCTATTCCAAATTTTTCTGGACATTGCGTTCATAAAATGATCGGATCCGAAGCATTTTCAATAGCGTTCGTCCTTGCGACAAAAAGCTTGACTGTACCAAATTCCGTCAAAATATCTCGAAAATTGTAGCCAGTAGGTTGGACACCAGAAAATGAGTTAGACAGACGGACAGAACAGTTTAGATTGATTCAGAATGAATTTCATTGCATTAACTTGCTCATTGGGGAATCACTTTTTAGACCGACCGGTACAATAAAAGATAGGTCTATTCCAAATTTTTCTGGACATTGCATACATCCACACGAAGTCAATACATCGTTGTACCGTTAAAAAAAAGGCTATTTAATAGGGGGTAAGAAAAATAAACAATAGTTGCTTTCAATTCAATTTTTGATCGAAAAGTTTGTCCAGTAAAGTAGAATTTATAACGAAAGCAGTAGACCTAAATAGAGGTGAGGAAGATCAGTTCCTCAACAAATTAAACTAGATTGTCAAGAACCAAATTAATATCCGGAAGGAAGTCATAGTTAAGCGCAAAGTGAATATTGAACCTATGACGAAATGGATGAAGTGATTACGCCGAATTTCAATTGCACAATGACATATAGAGATCCATCACAAACGGCACAAGTACTGCGACAGATTTCCTTGAAATGACGGGTGGATATATGTTTCCAGGCATTACATCCTTCAAACAAACGCTACTTATAAAATTTATCTTTTGCAACCTGGAAATCAGAACATACGATAAAATGGCAGTTGTATTAAATTAGGTTACTGTGTCTTAGGATATGGCACGAAAAATCGACAGCCACGTTAAATAGGTTATTGTGCCTTAGGATATCATATAGTATATATAATAAATCGACATCTATATTAAGCTAGGCCACGTTAACTAGGTTACTGTGCCTTAGGATATCATACAGTACGTACAATAAATCGACAGCTGTGTTAAATTAAGTTAGGTTAGGTTGTTATTCAGCGATTATCATTCGTAGCACGAAAACCAGTACATATGATAAATCGACGCGTGGGTTGTTACTTTATTGTAGTCCGTCCTCTAAAGTGTAAAAGCGTTTCGCTAAATCATTATTCCAGAACAAATTCGAGCCAGAAGTTCAAGATACAAATGTTCGAAAAGTTTGGAAAGTCTGCCCCATCGCCCTCTCACGCTGCATACTGCTTTCTACAAAGTTGAGAACACAAAATTCAATCTCAACGAATTTTTATTTTTGTCAATGTAAGTAAGAGATAACCTATTATAAAGAGTGGACGGACATATGAGAATGGTGAAATTGATTTTATATGTATCCCAAGGGATATCTAATACGTATTTCTAAGTAAAACAAACAAATCTCGTATGCTGTCATTCTTCTGTGATAATTGTGAAACGGCGTGTGAATCGAAGGTTTATAAAATCCTTCATATAACTTCTACAGATTTATTGGTTCGAAGAGTGAATTGAATTGAGAAACACTGTTTTAATGTACAGTTGTAAGCTTTAAAGCTTTTAACTTTTTACTAAAGCTTTTGACCTAAAAAAATCAAATAAAAAAAAAAAAGTACAAAAATAAGTTTTAAGATATTCAAGTTTCCTTTTTTTTTTCCTTTTCGAGATTTATTTTATACGCTTTGCAAAAAAAAAAAAAAAAAAAAATTGGGAGAACATTCTCCATATTTTAATGAGTGAACTGATATGCTATGGTATTTATTTCTTCTTTTAATTCTGTGCAATATTTTAACTTTTTTCTTTTCGAAATCATTTAGAATACGTTTGCCTTAATTACACTTATATTAGATAAGCTGGATGCACTGAAAATCCGTATATAAACGAACGAATTAAAAAGATTAAGAAATTAAATTTATCATTTTACTTACAATCACAACACTGTTGCTTTTTCTAAAAGACTAATGGACGAAATACATAATTTATACTCGCCCTAGACAGAGCCCAAGGCATCGCCTTGGGTTCAATAAAAATTGGACAATTAGCTAGATTTATTGTAACGAAATGCAAAGGGCTTTATACCCATAAAGTTATAAATCTTAAAGAGGAACATACATTTTTTTATACTGAATTAATAGATGCTTTGGATTTCCGACAAAGAAAGAAGAAAAAAAGGCGATTATCTGACTTAGTGGGTGTTCAAGTGCTATAAAAGCCGTCTTTAAAGCTTCAAATATCTGTAATACGGTTACATGATTTATGTTTAGAAAGTCGACTTTTTCAACCATTCATTCAAAATTTTGATTCTCCCATAACAGCCTTTTTATGTTATCTTTGGACACTTTAAGGAGGATTTAAGTAAAAATAGTAAAAACAGAAGATTATATCAAGCCTTTTAAGCAAATCTTGCATATTTATCGTCCCTAAACAACTTTAGACTAATTAAATTTTTAATATTAGACTAACCCCTCAAAAGCCGTCGATTTTTCCAATTATTTCCTATTTATACCTTACTCCACTTGTGAGATAAGAGTACAGTAAGTAAGTTTGTGAGGATGTATGTAACAATCGTGAGCTTTTATTATATCGAACGATTTAAGATTGTCCATTCCCCCTTTCAGTTTTGTATCAAACTTACGATATTGATAATGGTCCAGATTGGATAACTTTTTCGGCCACTTCCTCTAAAAAGCCTTGTTCTGAACACTTATGGTTATGTGAATAATTGCAGGGTTTTATAGGGTATTTAATGGTAGCTAGTGGTCGACTATAGTGTTGACGACAATGCGTCGGATTTGGGATCTTTGCGAACCTAACTTATACAGGGAACGCCAGCACTTCCTATTGAACGTTCTCGGACGAATATCAATCTTCAAAATCTGACGGTATTAAGTGATATCCGCCAATTTTCTTTCTCTCGCTAAGTAACTTTAATTTCTCAAAATTAGGATTATTTGCCTTAAATACATATATATATTTTATTTTATATTGCAATAATTAAAAAATTGTAAATCTTTTCAATAAATTTATAAAACCTTAGTATTGCTTTATAAGCAATTTTCTCTTTTATCTTTTGCTTACCATGTTTTTCTTGCAGTTAACATACAAGATAAAAAAAAAGACGAAAAAACACTCACCATTTATAACATTTAGTGTTACAGTCACACTGGGACTATTTGACGGACTACACGTGTAATTGCCGGTATCACGTTTTTTCGCTGATTCAATGATTAATGAACCGATCTGTTGTTGTTATAGTTGTTATTTACCATATTTGATGCCAGCATAGTTGAGTGTAAAAAGACAAGCATGTGAATGAGAGAAAAAAAAGAGATAAAAAATATAAATTTAATATAAAATCATTGAATATTTTTTTTGGTTAATGCAAAATATAATATGATATATCTGAAACCAATTAAGTACAACAACATGTTCGCAGACCCTATGATATCTTTTTTCCTACTATCACATTGTCATGCAGAGTATATTAGGTTTGTGCGGATTTATGTAACACCACCAATCATCTTTTATTATATCGATCGATTTAATGTTGTCTGTCCGTTTGTCCATCTTGCATTCTTATGCTGAACTTATACCTCTTAATTTTTGGGGTATTTTTCTGATATTTTGTACCTCGACGCATGTTGCTAAAGGACGAATGCTCCGGATCGCACCGCTTTCTTGGCAACATCGCGTATAACGCTTTATTTTAAAAAATCGTTATATGACTAACTGCAGGTTGGCTTAGGATAAGGTTTAATAGTGGTCTTTGACCGATAGAAATGTTTAATTTGTGGAATTGAAATCTTTGCGCACCTAGGTAGCTCGGCAAACGTCAGCATTCCCTATGAACGTCCTTACATGAATATTAATTTATAAGCCTTACAGGGCGATCATGTAAGGGCCTTCGTTTTAACGTCCTTGTTTTTTTCGTATTCCCGCCAATCATGATCAGGATTGTTTAAAAAATCATTACAAAATTATTAAATCGAATTATTAAGTAATTATTCGCCTGAGTATGCCGAGTAACTAAGACTCGCGACTACCAAGTCATACCGATCCATTCAAAATCTTGTTTGTCGGTTGTCTGTCAACCTATAGGCTATCATTTTTGAAATATTCACACAAAATTTGCCATATTGATAAGTCTTGGTTCACGGACGATTGGGCCGTAACATTTTTACGACCACTCGCTATATAACGCTTAACTAAAAAAGTTTTTAGATGCGGGAAAAAGATTCAATTTTTAATATTTCTTCAGAAAAATCTGTAAAGAACCAATATCTTGGCCCAGAAAGTAAATGTAGAAAATTTGGAACGCAAGGGAACTTTTTTTTGCGCTATCTTCCTATATGCTGTAGTGCTGTTGCTTCGAAAAGACCATAACAAAAAAAGCTAATGTTCTATTTTTTATTATTAAAAATGGGTCCTTAATAGCCATTTCACGAAAAAATTTCTTGTTCAAAATTTGGACCATGAGATCTGTTTCTTTAAAAACCATCTGATACAAAGGCCCCCAGGAAAGGTAAGCTTTTAAGTGACAATAATATCTAATTTTTAATTCTTTAGGCAAAAAAAAATTGATTTTTACTAAGGATGAAATACGTCCATCCACATCCCTCCCATACAAGCGCTTCGTTGCAAAGTATGCCTTTAAATTTTTTGTGAAACTAATGGGATAATTGTATTAAGTGAAATGGTATGTAGGATATTTAAAGCCCAACTTTGCCCGACTATTGTTTTTTTTTACTTATTTAAATTGCATTTCTATTTTATTCATAAAAATTTTTGCGTTTTCACGGCATTCATTTCATTTTTGTGGATCTTTTGTTCGGAAAAGACTTTATAACTAATTTTAAATGCTTTTTCCTGTTCCCTTAAGTATCCTTGTGGTAAGTGAAATATGAAATGTAAAGTAATCTGTTTATTATATGCTGTGTTTTCAGTTAACTAATGAATTTGCTACAGTTAAACAGCCTAGGGAAAAAATTTCTATGAAATCTTGTAGTCGGTATCTATGGCACATTCTAAATTACAATTCCATACCTATTTGCTGGAATATTTTAAGCTAGTTTTTGTCTACAACTTTTAATTGGTCTTTAGATATATTGTTAGTGCTAAATTTTAGGTAAATAATCTATTGGATATAAGAAATTTTGATTTGTTAAGGAAGTTAATGCTATATCTTTGTTGCTTTGTTGATCAGCTTTGCCTGTAAGTTATCAAATGTGTGCAGTAATTTCCATTACAAGTGCGTCTAACACTCTCGACAGTTTTGAAACTCAATTTAGCTGTGGATTAAGTAATTCCACGATAGACCTTTTAGTCCTTTTATGGCGATTAAGCACATCTTCTCGGTAATGGAAGGGCTGTCATTCATTTATACTGGAGCTGTCTTGCTTACAGGCATGGACGCACCTTTGGGTGATCGTTTGTCGATCGACTATCAAAAAGAAAACTAACAGCGATCTTCTGCCTTACGTTAGATTTAGATCTAAAAATTTTTCTTAACCTCTTAAATCCTCGGATCAAATTTGAAGTCAATTGTTGTAAATGTGCTACTCGCAATTAATAAGAAGACGGATTAGATAAATATTATCTTCAGTTGCTCAACTATCTTGGTGGAGGTGCTGCCGAGTTGTATAAGAATATACAACATGTTCAACTTGCCAACCGCGATATATGATCGCTATATCAAGTGAATGCATTCTTATCGCATTTTTCAATGAAATATCATAAATGACTTTGTGATGAAACGTGACAAAAGCTGAAAACAATTTCCATTATACTACCTTGGGAGACGAGGATGCCATATATAGATATGAAAAAGGAATCTGAGAGTAGATTTGCTTAACGTACAATAGTATTAGTGGTATATTTGTTGCCCTCTATACAACAATTCGCAGCCCAAATGCAATTCGTTTTTCGTATACGGATAAAAGCAATTATGCAAATGATGACTAAAAAACATGCGTTTGTCCAGATGTTTTGGGAAAGTGCAGCCAAGTTTGAAATGATAATTCTATAAAGTTTTTTTTCGAATCCTTTACTCGAACTACATACCGCGTGTGATAAAACACCACAATTAGTATTTATGTGTCGATTGAAATACTCGGACAGATATGAATAAACAAATTTATTTCTTATTAATCGTGCTAAATCGAGTCGGATGTGCTTTTTCTACAGTCTGCTGAAATTTTTGATATCAGGTTAAACTATATAAACCTGCTAACTAACATTTATCTATTTGTACGAATTGTGTCAAAGTTCGCTAGCTTAGATCTCGGTACGGTAACGCGTACGGTACGCGAATGCTCGGAGTGATAAAAACATAACATTTATCGATCGAGGACGCATTCATTAATTCGCAGCCTAATCTTTCTCTTGCCCCCGCTTCTCTCTGATTACTACCGGTTTACCAGAATAGGTGACATCCTCTGAATGATTTATTTATGCATACGTTGGTCGACTCATAGTTTCTCAAATTCGAAAATTTGAGAGAGAAGAGAGCCGCTGTTTTAAAAGCGAATGCAATCTGTAGTTAAAAACCGAACATTTGTTTTGATTTCATATAATAATTTCTTCAATACTTATGACTTTCGCTGTATGAACATAATGTACTCTGCGTAAATGGTTTCTAATATTCGCCTTAAGCTGGATTTAATTTTTAATTTTTTTTTTTCTCACTGCTTATATGGTCTGCTGCGGTTATCCTATTTCAACCGTTGTACTTGTAAACAATTTACCCTTGGATGAGTTTGAGGAGGATAAGAAAAAGACTTTGGGAAAAATGTAATATTTTAATTTTTTAAATGGCTCTGTTGTTACCGCTCTTGTTATTGTCATTGTTGTTGTTATTGTTGTCGTTTATGTGTAAACTTCCCAAAACAAAAAAAAAAAGAAGAAAGGCAATATGCTTGACATATTTCGGTTGAATGTTTGTGGTCACGAGTGGTAATTAAATGTTGAAAAGTTATAAAATGAAAAAAAAAAACAAAAAAAAAAAAAAATTTAAAAAAAATTAAAACTTTCTTTGTTGAGAGAATAATAAGCGCAAAAATTTTCAAATTAAAATATAATGCTTGCGGCCATTTGCGACCTTCACATTGCTTACTGTGTTACAATGTAATTTTATTAAAAAAAATTTTAAAGTAAATTCGTTTACCGTACTATGAGCGTCACTTTCAAATTCGGATATATTGCGGTCAAGTGTAGTTTTATGACGCTTGGAATCAGCAGCCAATTGGTCGATGCCATGATACCACATAATAAACGTGGGCGGCTCTAAAGCACCCCGTACTATACAGCGTAAAATTACAGTGCTGCCAGCTTTAACATAACGATCGGGATCGCCGAGAATTTCAGTACGAGGAACTGCAAAGAGAATTTAAACAAAAAATTATTTCAATCAATCTAAGGTTCAAAGTAAAATAAAAAGTCAATGAATTTATATCCTATGTTAGCAAAAAGAAAGAAATTAAATGTTTTATTAACCTTATCTAGGTTATGTTGTGAGCGAAATTTGCCATATAAACACTTATATACAAATTGTAAATTTTATCGCACTAACATAACAGCTAAAGTGTTGTTTATTCGCTTTTGTCAGAAGAGTGCTTTACCAAAGCGACAGATTTTAATGGAAAATTAGTTAAGGCCAATTTTTCTTTCCGTATAGAGGCATGTTTTCTTACTTCATTTCGACCATTAGAATAGAGATGCAGCCCTATATGTATATATAATAGATTACACTATATATATGTGCAATATAGACTCGTAAAATACCCTTAAACAGTGAACAGCTGACAGTTGACAGCGACAAGTTGACAGTGAACAATTTAAAGAAAAGCAAACGAATGAACGTGACAGAAAGACAAAGAGAAGCAAACGCAACCGTTAAGTGGCCGTGGTCGAATCAAGTTATCAAGTCGTGCAATCGGGCATCTATACTTATGTTAAACATTTCCTTATTTTTATTATGATTATCTATTTAATTTTTCTTGAAATCGAATTACGCTCACTTTCACTAAACGTCAGCATTTAGTATCTTTATCTTACACTTAAATTATAATGTGAGCTATATAATTACGCTTTACGTACGCATGTTGGGCACGAAAAGAGATGTGAGATAAATTTTTCAGTTCCATGCCACAGAGAGAGTGGGAAAAGTGACTTATACAAAGCCCGTAAAACATTTTCAAATCTGGCGAAATTGTTCAAAGTCAATTCCGGGAATCGCACGTGAGCTGGTTCTTGCAGTAAGCAGTTAAAGGTTTCTATTTAAGTTTCGTAGCTTTTCTATGTTAGATAGTGTAATAAATTAATCCTCTTTAAAGCTGTGAAAGGTAAGCTGTGTAAAGGTACATCGAATCTCTTGACAAGAAAATACAATAAAAGTTGGTTTTTACAATAATATTAGATAGGTCGAGCACATCATCATTGCGAGGCAGGAAGATGGCCAATTTGTCAGCTTCGAAATCAAATAAAAACGCACAAATTTATTATCGCATCGCTAGTTTAATCACAAAACATTGTCATGAATGCTTCCAACCTCCTAAAAAGGTGTTGACAGATGGGAAGTTATTAAAAAAACGAATGAGTGATGAGGGATTAATGAAGTGAAAAGCGTTGAAGACTCCTGATTGCTCAAGCGCATCGCCAAATGGAATGATTTATTCCAAGATCTGTTAAATATCGACGAGGCTCGGGTGTACTGCGATCCCCCACAAACTCTATATTGAGCAAGCGAACAGAGGATTCTCTGTCAATCACCGTCAGAAATAAAATGAAAATAAACTATTTATAGTTCTGAAGTAAAAATGCACGCTCATGTTATTAAGTAAAAGGTAGACCCGTAATTTTGAAACAGGCAAACCAATATTAACTTTTGGAAAAAAAAAACCAATTCGAGCAAATAATATGATTCATTTTTTACATGTACATAAAGTGATATATCACATCTTTCATAACTTCATAATAACCATCTTTCTGTAGCTTTTTCGAGATAATCAAATACACTTTCATATTTATTGATATAAAAAATTGTACGTTGTTGCCGTTTTTTAATTATTGAAAAAGTCTGTTCGAGTTTTAAATGCAAGCATGAAATCAATGCAATAAAATTCAAGGCCTACTTATCTTTACTCTTTCCATAGCATAGCAACTACTAGGAAGGTATACCACGCATTGCCCTTTTTTTTCATATTCGCTTATACTTATTGTTATGTTGTACTGGCGCTCATTTTTAATTCAGTTTCAATTTTAAATTGAAAACCTGTGCGATTTAATTCAATTATTTATTCACTGTAATTATATTGTAAAAAGGCAGAAAAAAGAAAAAAAAAAGATGGAGCCATAAAATAAAAACAAGAATTCAAGATAAAAAGCAGAAAAGAGAATGCAACTGAATTGCGTGATTGCATTTACGCGCCCAAATACGTTCTTTGGATGGCAACCTACAGTACTTTCCCTATAGAAGAACCGCATATGGAATCAAATCTCCTTTCAAACCCAATTTATAATCAATCGAACGAATGCCTTTGCACTACAGCGATAAATCAAAGCAGCAGAAGCAGAATAATAATATCACATCACTCAATAAGTCTCCGGTCTGACACATATCTAATCTCTAGCATTTACATAACACTTTCAAATTGTTTTCAATTTTAAGCATAGCAATTAACCCAACGCTACCGTCTTTAGACTGACTTTAAATTGCCTTGGAAAATATTTCGACTCAATAATTGATCAATATATGGTCTAAAGTTCAAATTACAATTCTTCGTCCTTTCATTTTGAATCTGAATTACTGAGCATTTGTAATTGTATTTTACATCAATTTTTTCATAAAAGTGGGTGACGGTCGCAATTCTTAGCTTCACACGAAATTATTTATGATTTAATTCTATGGAGTTTTCAATAGCAGCCGTTCGTTGATAATCATATTATTGACATTTCTGTTTAGGATATTACATAAGATGTCGGTTGATTCTTCGTGTCACACACAAGAAAGATCTCTAAACTCAACAATCAAATGATTTTCTTTACCTATCAGTACACTTCCACATTTTAATCAGACTAATTGTACTGAAAAGACCGAAAAAAAGGAAGAAAATGTAATGAAAAGAAGAATTCAATATGAAAATGTACAAAAGTAATAGAATCCCGATTATCATTTTCTTACAAATATCATGTGCGATTTGTAGTGAGAGAGCGATTTTTAAAATCATACTTGTAGAAAGCTGGACAACAAACTTAAGTTTAATCTAAGCTTTTAAGACCGATTGCAAGATAAAACGAAGATCGATTCTTCCGACATATATTTTGTCATATAAAAAGTAATTTAAAATTTGGCGACACCTACGTGGAAGATACGATTAACGTTATTTGACATATTTCGTCCTATATTTATATTATATACGCGCTAAGTTGCGACTGCTTGTTATTTCCACCATAACCATCTTGTACGTAGAGCAGACATTCTCTGAGTAATTGGGTATAAAAAATAATAATAATAATAATAATAATAGAAAACAAAACAATTGAAAAGACTGTAGTGGGACACAACGTATCGTTAAATAATGTACACGATCTTACAACGATCCGTATATCATCCTTTTTAAAATAAGGCATAATAAGAGAACCGGTCAAAAAACTAGTTCCACGCGAAACATTTTCATTAGTCTTTGGGCTAAGATATGCCAATCTACCTTGTATCAAATTGGGGCCTGTAGGTTGAACATAAGAAAACTAGACAGAGAGACGGGCAGATAAGCTTAAACCGATTTAAAATGGGTGGTGGAAAAGATGGTGTTATCTCAAATCTTTCTCGTTATTAGCAAATTCGTACAAGCTTAATATTCTCTTATACCACAGTGGAACATTTCATTGATTTTTTGAGCACGAACTTGTCGTGAGATGAAGCTGTCACTTTGCCAAAGTAAAACGTCAACCAAAAGGATTAAAAACGTAAAGCTGCGTTTTCATGTCTAACCTTAATCTAATGCCCATGTCTTCAGCGAAAAAGACATTAGATTCTCCGCTTTTTATTCATTCTAAGGAACATGGTGAACATAGGCGTTAAATAATGTTGTAACTATATGACCAGTGCACGAACGGATTGTAAGATTAAAATGCGGGGAGTTTCATATCCCCGGGAATTGTTTAATGGCTTAGACGGCTATATAATCAAAGTCAGTTGGAAGTACATTTAGCTAACATGAGACGGCATAGAGTGTTTAAATGAAAAATTTTTCCATTTGCGAACTAGACGTACAGCCTTTTCGATCTTCTAGATGTTTGGGGATCTCCTTGCTACGATTTTGATTGTTAACAAAATTTCTTATTCCTTTACTTTACAAATTTTACGCCAATTTTTTCCATCAACCACCCAATTTCAATAATTCCAGTAATATATTCCGCATTCCACGATGCGCTCTGACGTATACGTGCACGAATGTATGTGCGATTGTACGGATTTGTTTACAATAAATTGATTTAGAAAATTTATTCTTCAAAAAGCACTTACGTTACATAAAAACAATTATTGGCGTTACAATGTTAAGTGTCTTGTTATACCGCCTTGCGCGCTATAATTCTTTTCTACATTAGCATAAATTCATTTACATTCTTTATAACAATATGCAAACAAAGGAAAAGAAAAGGTCAACAAAAATTTAAAGTGCTGCTATATTCTGTGTGGAAAGTGTTAATAGTTATCAGGATTTTTAAAACTTAACAATTACCCAAAATTGCAAAAAGTAGGAGGAGGATTGTTAAAGAAGAAAAATTACTTATTCGCATCGCAAGTAAAAGGTTTTTTTCGAATCGGTTCAAAAACGTATTCACTGTCCTTGCACGAGAGATAAGCCGTAAGTTGAAATTTTTATTCGAAACGGTTTAAAAACTTGCTTGCTAACTGTAGCTATGTCAGCTACTGATAAGTTCGATCATTTCAAAATTTTAAGTCGTTTGTTTGACCTAACGCCAATCAAATCTACCGCTAAAATCTCAAGAGCTCAAGAACTCCTATTATACAATTTTAGATTTTAGACGCTTAACTCTAAAGATAAAACTTACTACCAACCTACCAGATCAAGACTTCAACCGATTTAGATTTGCATTTGTTGGTAGAACCTACAGACACCGATAATAATAGAACGTAATGTCAATTAAAGGACGATTTCACTTTATTATAAAAAATGAACACAACCCCAAAATTTGCTACAAAGCAATTTGAAGTTAGAGCATTAAAGAGAATGGAAATTTTTGGCACCTCCATATGTTGGCTATAGAGATCACACGGACTGGATCGTAATGCCAGGAAAAAGAAGATTTTTATCGATTATGGAAAACGAACATAACCTCAATATTTACTT